TTCCGAGATATATGCAAAAGATATATTAAGGACCGGTCCTTCAAGTCCTAAATGGGGACGTCTAGCAAAAAATTGAAAGATTGCATATTATTAAGAATATTATTTTGAACGCCTTTTGTTCAATATAGTTTATCAAAATATACTTCCTTTTCAAGATATATTGCGCCAAAGATTATGCAATCTGACCCCTTATAACCCCATGATATATATATCATATATAAGATATGATGTAAACATCATGTTAAATTGTTAAAGAGTGTGAAGATGAACTATTTCGCTTCAGTAATATATTACAAAATATTGATCATTCAAGAGATATTAATTAAATACTTTCGGCCCCTCTAGGCCCATATTTTAAGAGATCAGACCCTTTTCCTAGATATCACCTTAAAGCTTTCATGATTTTGAACATTTTTTGTTCAACAACTATTCAAAAATTCTTTTTCGTTTCCGAGGTATGTGCGAAAGATATATTTAGGAGCTGGCCCTTCAACTCCTTAATGAGAACGTTTAGCAAAAAGCGAAAGGTTCAGATCATTATTTTGAACATCTTTTGTTCAGTATTGCTTATCAAAATATTTCCCATTTTTGAGATATAAAGCATCACAGATTTTGCAATCTGGCCCCTTATGGCCCCCTAATTATGTAACATGTAATGTGAATATCATAATACATAGTTGAAAATTGTTAAAATAAACATTTTTGCTTCAGTAATGAATTACAAAATTTTGATCGTTAAATAGTTATCGATTAAAGACTTTCGGTCCCTTTTTTGAGGGGCCAGCCCCTTTTTCTTCATACCACTTTAAAGCTGCTATGATTTTGAACAATTTTTGTTCAACAACTTTTCAGAAATTCATTTTTGTTTCCGAGATATTTGCAAAAGAAATATTTAGGGGCCGTCCCTTCAACTCCTTAATGGGGACATTTAGCAAAAAATAAAAGGTTGCATATTGTTCAGAACATTATTTTGAACAACTTTTGTTCAATATTGCTTATCAAAATATTTCCCACTTTCGAGATATAAAGTGTCAAAGATTTAGCATTCTGGCCCCTTATGGCCCCTAATTATGTAACATATGATGTAAATAGCATAATATATGGTTGTAAATTGTTGAGATAGACATTTTGGCTTCAGTAATGCATTACAAAATATTGACCTTTAAAGAGTTATTGATTAAAGACTTTCAGCCCCTCTCGGCCCCTATTTTGAGGGGCCAGCCCCTTTTTCTTCATACCACTTTAAAGTTCTCATGATTTTGATCATTTTTTGTTCAACAACTATTCAGAATATCTTTTTCGTTTCCGGGATATATGCAAAAGAAATATTTAGGGGCGGGCCCTTCAACTCCTTCATGGGGACGTTTAGCAAAAATCAAAAGGTTACATATTCTTCCGAAAATTGTTTTGAACATCTTTTATTCAATATTGCTTATCAAAATATTTCCCACTTTCGAGATATAGAGTGACAAAGATTTGGCATTCTGGCCCCTTATGGCCCTTAAATATGTAACATATGACAAAAATATTATAATGTATAGTTGTAAATTCTTAAGATAAACATTTTTGCTTCAGTAATGTATACCAAAATATTGATCGTTAAAGAGTTATTGATTTAATACTTTTGGCCCCTCTCGGCCCCTAATATGATGAGTCAGCCTTTTTTTCTTGATATCATATTAAAGATCTTGTCATTGTGCACAAATATTGTTCAGTATGTTTTAGCAAAATAATTATATTTTAAAAGATACGATACAAAATGTCTCAAAAATTCACTCATAATTCGTGTCCTAAATTTCGACCCCTACCGAGCTTCCATACTAAGCACTTCCAGAAAATATCTAAACCCAGGTGCAAAATGGCAACATGTCCTCTATCATCACTTTAAATTTCAGCGCTCTAGCTTAAGCCGTTTTTGAGTTCCATCGCAGACAAGGAGGTCCTCTAAATTTTGATAAAAGGGCGATAACTTCCGACCGGAAGTAAATATCCCTTAACGGAATTGCCGGAATTAACTTCAGATATGAACGCATCTACGATGAAAATTTGAATAAAATCGAACTAGCCATCTCCGAGAAATCGTCTGCACAAATTTTGTAAGAAGAAAAAAGAATAAAAATAATAATAAAGGTAAAAAAGAAACCGAAGAATAATAGAAGGGTCTTCCGCTGAAGACGGAAGACCCTAATAATAAAAGTGAAAAAGAAACAATAGAATAATAGAAGGGTCTACCGCTGAAGATGAAAGACCCTAATAATAATAAGAGGGAAAAAGAAACCGAACGAAAACAATAAGGTCTTCCTTTGGAGACGAAAGACCTTAATAATAATAATAATAGGGAAAAAGAAACCGAACGAAAACAATAAGGTCTTCCGTTGGAGACGGAAGACCTTAATAAAAGTGAAAAAGAAACCGAAGAATAATAGAAGGGTCTTCCACTGAAGACGGAAAACCTTAATAAAAGTGAAAAAGAAACCTAAGAATAACAAGAAGGTCTTCCGCTGAAGACGGAAGACTTAAAAACAGTGGAAAAGAAACCTAAGAATAAAAAGAAGGTCTTCCGCTGAAGACTGAAGACCTTAATAAAAATAGTGGAAAAGAAACCTAAGAATAACAGTAAGGTCTTCCGCTGAAGTCGGAAGACCTTAACTAGAGCAAAGCTCGTTGCAAAGCAACGAGTAGGTCTTCCGTACGATTTTCAGACGCACTGCTTGTAAGATGGATAAATGAAAGTTAAGTATTCGTTAAAAAGAAGGACTCCAGACCAAAATTGATGTCGATCTGTATTTAGTTTTTCATGATTGAAATCTGTGCTGATTTTCGATAAAAAAAAAAAAAGGAAAGAAAATCAAGACTACTTCCGGTTTGACCGGAAGTGACCCCAATCGGCAGAAAATTGGGTCAGAAGTCTTGGGTGAATTTAATCATTTGATTTTATGTTGATATCTGCAGAAATACGTCATTTATACTTACTTCCAGTTTAACCGGAAGTTGACAAAAGTGACGATACTCGACAGGAAATACAAGCAGACGTCCTCTGTGACATGCATAATTCAATTCAATACCAATATCTGTGAAAATAAGAAATTTTCCACTACTTCTTGTTTGGCTTGAAGTGACGTATTTCGACGCAATTTGATGACCGCAGAAGCAACTACTTGTCATGTTGAACAACTTTGCTTCTTTGAAGTATTACGAATTCTCAATACTTTTTGAGATATGAGGAAAAAAAAACTTTTGGCCCCTCTAGATCCCTTATATTAGGGGCCAGACTTTTTTTCGAGGAATCATTTAAAAGATCTTGTAATTCTGCACAAATTTTGTTCTATATGTTTTAACAAAATATTTTCAAGTAAAATGATATCGTACAGAAAGTGTTCGAAATTTTGAAACTCTCGATATGACTTTTTTTCAGGACATAGCGAGCGTCGACGTATGGCACTTTCGGTGAAAGTAAACTACGTATTACGGATTTATATGTGTTGCTCTGTCTTCACTAAAAGTTTCACGTTCCTGTGATGAATGGTTTCTTAGAAAACCTGCGGACAAACTGACCCTCCAAAAATCACTAAAACGCAAAAAAAAAAAAATCCGGACCGGAAGTGACGTCATCAAAATAAAAAATATATCGAGATTTTGTAATGTTCCATCAGACCTGAATGTTTCATGAAAATCGAGTAAACCCTTTTTGAGAAATCGCGTGCACAAAATCGGTTTGAAAAAAAAAGAAGAAGAAAAACAGTGGAAAAGAAACCGAAGAATAACGAGACGGTCTTCCGCTAAAGACGGAAGACCTTATAAACAGTGGAAAAGAAACCTAAGAATAACATAAAGGTCTTCCGCTGAAGACAAAAAACCTTAAATAGTGAAAAAGAAACCTAAGAATAACAAGAAGGTCTTCCGCTGAAGACGAGAGACCTTAATTTAAAAAAAAAAAAAAAACAAGTATTCACTGACAAACGTCAGAGATACTCAAGCTGTAGAAAGTCAATAATGTAGTACTAATGCCATAAATATGCTAAGATGACATAAAATGTAGGCTTTTGAATTTCAACACTTTCTGTTGAATAAAATACATGGACACGTACTAGAAAACAAAATACATGGACATGGACATGGATATATACATGCATGTAGTGGCTTTATCATAAAGCTGCACTTGCGTCATATGGAGAAATTGTGTGCAATTTTTTCATGAGATTGCTTCCACGTGATTTATTTCTCATTAATATTCATCAGATACTGAATAAACTCGAAATTTCCCGATATAAAGAAGGTCACACTGACGCAAAAAATTGCCGTTTTCAAATTAAGAAGGCGGTCGGAACGTCTCATGGAAAGGTAAAACATATGTATTTTATAAAAATAGGCTCTTTCCTGCACCTCTTAATCGGCGGAAGAACTCTGTCAACTTGTAATAAACACTTACATTTCCTAATAAAAAAAATGATTAAAACACCAATTCTGTGCTCTTTCCTTCATTAAAACATTATACTCTCGCTTCGAATTTTCAAATCAAAAATCGGTCGCAACTTTCACTTTGGTATCAACAATCTTGTCATTTCCGGTAGAAGATAATAAGAAGAATCAAACCATCGGCGGAAGAACATTATCCGAAATAGTTAGGATATAAAAAATTGCAATTTTTGTATTTTCCCTATATAAACCTTTATAAATTCGGCCGCCATTATAATTCCAAAATGGCCGATATGCAAATAGCAGAATGAACACCATTTCTCCATATGATAAAAAAATCTTTATTTAACCTAAAATTCATAATTATAGAACTTAGAATTAATATAATTAAACGTTCTACTTTAATAATGAATTGTATTCAGTTTTAGGAATATTTCATGAAGCATAGTGGCGGTAGTTTCTATATTGATTTAATATTTGTCTCTATTAAGGTATTTAATACAACATGCGTTTATTTGTATATTTTCCTAAACAGCATATCGAAAAAATTGATATACAGCAATTCAAATAACTTGTTTCAAGCCATGTCACAACGTTTTAGCAAAGTGAAGGAGGGAGGGCAACCTCCGAAAACATCCAGCGTACTACGGGCCTGTGCAACATGTGTGTACATCATCTAATCTTTTCAATGAAAGAGTATTCCGTACAAATCCAAAACAGTGTCAAGTCCCAGTCCTTATGGGTTATAAAAAATAGCCCCTTTTTGAAACAAAACTTTAGACTTTAGACCGGATAGAATTTAACAGTACTATCACTCAAAGTAGTCAGATCTTAACGAAGGATTAACCTGTGTCACCTTTCAGGGTAACCGATGAACTCGTCCATGCATTGAAAGTCGTTGGAAAACTTACCTGAGGTTCCTACGTAGAAGAAAGCGCAAAATCTGTTGCGGCTGCGGAGAATCACCTATTATTCCTTCGTCATAGAATATAATCCGACATTTAACACCTTATATCTTTGAATATACAGACATTTTCAAGACAAGCTTCATTTTTTGTTTCTAGAAATGTTTTTATTTACACGACTATTTTCGTGTTTTTAAACTGAGTAAATCGATGACCTAGCATCTTTTTAGATAATCCAAGCCCCTCTAAGGCTTGAGAAAAAAAATTAAAATAATAAAGAAAATTGATTTAATGGTTTTCCAAGTAAGAGATATTTTATATAAATAAAAAATAAATAAATAAATGAAATAAAATGCGCTTCGAAATAGCAGAATTTTTCAAAACATCTCGCCATTTTATCCACCAGTATTCAGTGGCAAAATGGTATTCAAATTAATTTACAAATGTTTATGAAATGCAAGCTAGCATTCAACCTTCATATCACAGACACTAAACCTAAATATTTAATTTCTATACACATGTGTTACACAAACTTTTACTTTCGCTTTCAGTGATATAAAGTCAGATTATCAAAATACCCAAATTATAATTAGTTTGAGTACTAGCTTGCACTTTCAATATCATTTTGCCTCTGAATACCCATGGATAAAAGTTTTTATTTTGAATTTTGCTATTGCAAAGTGAATTTTAATATTTTAATTTATGGTTTGTAAATAGAATATCTCTTACTTGGAAAAACTTTTAATGTTTTGACATTTCCATAACTATGGTTTAAGCGTGTAACTCTTGAGTAACCTTGAGTAAAGATCTAAGTTTATGCCCTTCACCGGCATACACTCTGTACGTTGACATTCACAAGGACTTAAAACATACTAACAAACTCTCTCTCTCTCTCTCTCTCTTTCTATATATATATATATATATATATATATATATATATATATATATATATATATATATATATATATATATATATATATATATATATATATATATATATATATATATATATATATAAAGCTAGGGTGAGCATTCTCTTCGTGACATCTTTTTTACAGCTGATATTGCTGCTACGTAGAAAAGTACGTCTGTAACGATCAAAACAAAACGTAAAATATGACAGTATATATGCACATATCGGTCTATAAATCATAGCTTCCAGGTTTTTGCCTTATATAACGCTAAAATGAATCTCATTCGTTATGTACAGGTGGGACAGTGGATATTGCAGTACAGGAAACAACAGACACGGGGAAAATGAAGATAATTTACAAGGTGTGTGGTGGAAACTGGGGTGGAACCAATGTGGATGAAACCTTCTTTGATTTTCTGAAAAATATATTCGGATCCGAAGTTCAAAACAGGCTTACAAACGAATGTAGGTCGGAATATGTAGAGTTTCTTCGGGTATTTGAGATTAAGAAGAGAACAGTCGACAACAACGCTGAAAAGAATGTTAACCTTGTAGTTCCCCAATCCTTCATTAACATTTTATTGAAGAAAAGTGACAGTACGATGGAAGGCAATATTAAAGAATCACCACATGGCAGAACTGTTTTGTTAATGGGTAATAAACTCAAGATTGATCATTCTGCATTTGTTGCATTCTATAAGAAGTCGGTTGATAATATCATCTCTCATTTACAAGGTATTTTTAATGAGGATTGTTGTCGTGATCTTGTCGGTGTAGTTATGGTCGGGGGATTTGCTGAGAGTTCCATTGTTAACTCAGCTATTAAAAAGGCCTTTCCTGACAAGAAGTTTATTATTCCAATGGAAGCAGGATTAGCAGTTACTAAGGGTGCAGTTCTCTATGGCCATGAACCAGATGTGATTTGTTCGCGAATATGTCGATATACATATGGGAAAACCATTGCCGAAAGTTTCGATGAATCCATACACCCAATATCAAGACTTATTTTGATTGAAGGAAGACCGTATTGCAGGGGTGTTTTCCAAAAGTTCTTTACTATAGGGCAAGTAGTTTCACTTGGTGAGGCGATTGAATTGACTAGTACACTGTCCTTTGTCGATAAGTGGAATAAGCCCAGTCGTAGAAAACCAATTCATGTTTCAGTGTATGTATCTGATAAAGAATCTCCAATGTATGTAGATGATAAGGGATGTCATCTGCTTGGTAATATTGAGGTTAAGTGTGACAAAGGTATCTGGCCTGAAAGGGTTGAAATTGAAACAAAAATGGAAATCGCCGGGACCGAAATAAAGGTAACCTCAAAAATGAATACCGGAGAAGAAGTGAGCGCCACGTTTGATTTCCTCTAAAGACGAATTATAAGACATATTAGAACTGAGCCTAATTTTTATAAGCTCTGATTGGTTGAAATCCTATTAGCGCAAAGAACTTAAACCTTATTTTTTTAAATCCCTTTTAGTATATTCTTAACGGATTTATCCAGATTCTAAGGCAGAAAATCTAACATTATTTTTTAAAAGATAAGAAAAAGTCTCGTAGTAATCAGGGAAAATGCAATAAAGCTAATACAACTCATGTAAACTCTCGACATATAAAAGAAAAATACGTTATGTATGCACCATATTTTGTTCCAAATGACGATTTAAAAAAAAAATTACATTGTACATTTTTGTGTATTTTGTCGCCTACCATGGAGAATATCCAACCCTATCTCCAGATAAAGGTATATTTTGCAATAGATATATAGTCAGTAATTGGCTGGAAGCAAGTTGTATCAGGTAAGCATTTCTTCTCATCGAAGAATGATCGCTGGCCTGCTTCATAGGCAGACACAACATTTTATGATTAACGACATTGCCACATACAATTTGACCTGGATATTTTGTCATGTGAAAGTATAAAGATTCACGAGATATTCAATAAAGATGACAGACATCAGAAGTTGCGATATTTGCTATAACTATTCACCATGATAGAAATTTTATCATTTGTCAAACTGGATACATGCATCTTGAAACACAGGTTTTCAGTGTCTACGGGAAAAAAATGATTGCACTTAATGTACTAAACGTGAACCTAGTAAACTGCAAAAAATGCAAATGGGGAGAAAAGAATTAACAGAATTTTTCAAAGACTTACTAGTGCGGTTACTTAAAATATTAACGCGAATAAAATGTAACTGTAGAATGCAACGCAGTGTTATATAATTAGAGAATATTACATACTAAAATCCATATCATATGTCATATCAGCCCTCGGGCCCCATATCAGCCCTCGGGCCCCATATGGGGCCCGAGGGCTGATATGACATATAATATGGATTTTAGTATGTAATATTCTCTATTTATTAACATAAGTCGGATCTGTAAACCTATAGGGTTTAGAATGGACATATTATCTAACATTTTAAACTTGGATTATATTCATAACATAATTATTTTAGTTATTAATAGTGAACTTAATAGTGACAGTATAATGAAATAAAAGTTTGTTAAACAGAGGTGTACATTGTTTGTGTACCACATGCAGTGATTTTATAATTGGAAAAGATACTTTAACATCATGAACTAGAATTATATTGTTAGATCAAATTGGATGTTGTTATTGATACAATGAACTAAAATTTTGTAAACTCATTTGTAATGGAACTGATCAGAATAGACCAATCAAGCCCATCGATACTAAGTAATAAAATTTTAACGGAAATATAAAGTTACTATTAAGATTCCTGATTAAGAGTAATGAAATTGGGAACTTTGAAGCAGATAAGTATAAAGAGCCTAGGGCTAGAACTCCTGTGGTACAGAGATGGGGACTGAGTCCATAAATATTATTAATGAAGGTATACCTGGATTGGAGGGTAGTGTCATGTTGGGGTACATAGGTCAACGGACAGACCTACGGACTAAGCGTAGGTGGTATGGCAATGTTAAGTCAGCCAATGAAAAGTACTTTTATATCCGTGACCATGAATACCCCCTGAGCAACAAAATACCCTGTTTTGCCGAAAAGCGGCATTCTGTTCTTTCTTTCGATCATTCTTTGGCATCTATTGACTCTCTTTTGAAATACTCTTTGGATTATACTTTGGACTCTAATTTTTCAAACCTTACCTTAATTATTACTTTGCAATTTTAGTTCTACGCTCTTCTTAAATATTTAGGACGGAGCTTTAAAACTTTTGCTACAACCAGTGGATTGGTCTATTCTGATGAAATTTCAGAAACAGGCATATAAAAATCTATACGATCACGGTAGTTTAATAAACTTAAAAAAAACTTACAAACTTTGTTATTGGCTTACAGATCTCATTATATTCAGTTGGACATTTTGGGCATGTCTGCACACAGGATAAATGTGTAGAAAAGGTTCAACACCATCCGTTCTTTCTTCGTCATCGTTGTATCATAAACCGTTTTATGATCTGATGAATGAAAAATTTATCACATGTTTACTCTTTTATCCGTTGGATTAACTCAATTGATATTTTTTTCATATCCCACTGCTGTTACGTCACACTGGGTTTTGCATGAAAGTGACGAAGTAAACATAATGTGGATTCATATATAAAATCAGTGTAAAACATTGATAGTAATGTATAAAACATGTGATAAAAAAAATCTCCCATGATTTGTTGTTAGAAATGATTTTTTTATCGAACTCTCGTTGTGTGTTTTTCATCCCCTCGCCAAGGCTCGGGGATAAAAACACTCAACTCGTTGAAAAAAAAATCATATCCAACCACAAATCATGGGAGATTATATATATATATATATATATATATATATATATATATATATATATATATATATATATATATATATATATATATATATATATATATATATATATATATATATATATATATAAAGTATCAGAAGCAAAATCTGAAGGTGCATTCTGTAGTAGTATTCTCAGCGACATATGTACATGTAAATACAAAAGTGGTGTGCAAGTAATACGGAAGTTTCTCGTAGGCTACTGTATACAGGGTTATTTTCGCTTGCAAACAATTTTGCCCGTTTTAATTCGCCCAGTCACAGTTCTGTATAAGAAATTATACTGTGATTTTGAATTTGCCTCGTTTTAAATTCGCCCACCTGTGAGTAGAGCGAAAGGGGGCGAATATAAAAGGGGGCAAAAATTTTACTGTATACAATATTTCATGCAACGCGATTATGACGGTGCATATTGCCGTCCTATACATATTGTGGCCGGCGACAATTTGTACCTACCCTGATTGCACATATTGTCATCTATCGGTACATATTGTCGCATGCTGCAAAATTAATAATGTACATTTTATCGCTTGCGACGGTATTTGTCTACCCACACTTCATGTTCACTTCACATATTGTCACTGTTAGAGTTTTGGTAATATGGATGATGATGTGGATGATAATGAAAATGTTAATGATGATATCGAAAATTATACGTTCAATTTCGCTTATTCGTCATTCTTTCAACGCCAGTTAAGAAAGCTGCAATGAAGGTTGTATTCAATATAAATGTGTACAAGAAATACTGTAACGAGGAAAAAAGTGCAAATAAAATCAATAAATTTTTATTAGAAAAAAGACTAGGAATATCTCCCTAATGCAGTCCCTATAATATATCGGTACAGTATGAGAATCACACAAAATACATAACAAATAATTATTACTTCTGAACACAAAAATTAACATCCAGTCTCCAAATATATACGAGAGAAAACTATAGGCTGGAATATCAGATAAATACGGAATTCCTGTATCTTGGCATATCTTGGCATATCATACTGGTGCACATCAATCCTGGACACAATTTTAGTTAAAAAATTCTTTCTACATTATTGCTTATTTATTTATCTTCTTGTATCTACATGAATCTGCAGTACACACACACACACACACACTCTCTCTCTCTCTCTCTCTTCTTCGAGATTGGGATAAACTAAGAACATCACAAAAAGTCATAACCAAGTTTAAAGGTGGATTAAATGTTTAAAAATGTTAATCAGTCATTTAATCTTCACTTCAAAACTCGTTTGGTAAATATAAAGAAAGATTATTACATTTTGTGTTAGCACATTTTGCTTTACTCTCGACGCAGAATGCAATGACACAAAATATAACAAACTCCACATTTCCTCTGGATACTAGAATACGTCTTGCTTTAATCAAAACACAAAGTTATTTAAAAAATGTTTTAATCCTTGTTAGCTGCCTTAGCAAAAAGTGATAGAGATATATTGGAATTTTGAAAATTTTCTTGTTCTTAATAAGCATTTTAGTTATCATATCTCAGAGCATTCTTTCTATATATTTCTTTTTCTTATCTTCAGCTGTCTCTGAAAGTTGCTTTTTCGTATCATTGACCTTCTTTGTAGGAATCCTTAAAATGTTGAAAATGATAGTAATCTATCATTACATAGTTTTTACCTAAATTAGTGGAATAACATAAAAAATCAAGCCAAGTAATACTTATTTTTATCTGCATTGATAAATTTTTCGAGTAACGTTAATTAAGAACATGAAATGAATATAAATTTAAATATAGTTGTTAATATACAATAGCGTATTTATTATTTAAAGAATTATGAAATATTTGATTAAAAACAATCAACAATGATTTATTTTATACATGATTTGTTTTACAAATGTATTTTATCCAAATGTATTTTATTTTTGCTAGCATGATACACACGATGAATCTTTTGACTGACCGTTTAAAAGCTCTGCCGTGTCTTCGTAATGTGGAACTGACGATTTGAGCTGATTGCAATGTGTCTAAGTATAAAAGAAAACAACTTTGGTCTCCCCTGATAGAAAAAGACATCAGTTTTGTCATGGCTTTTTGATTTGCATTCCGACTCTTTTTTTATAAAATAGTGTCAGTGCGATAGGTATTGAGACCATGACCTGAATGAATTCAAATTTAATCTAACACGTTCTTTTTCTGAAGGTATGTTATGGTCTGAAATCAGCATCAATTTTCAATGCAAAATGGCAATGGTACAGTGAATTGGTAAACCGTTCATAATTTTCAACATTTTTAGAATGAAAAATACTTGAGCGTATAACTGCTTTCACAAATTTTGTATCATTATCTTGACTCAAATCTATCTTTCTAAGTACTTTGTCAATGGGCTATATCGGAAGATGTTAGAAGTTAAATTTACGATACACTTATTATGCATAAAAGGGCAATAACATGTTGAAATAAAAATCCTAAATATCCCAATGCAACTGATGTTTGCAAGAGGATATGACTTTAAGGATGGATTCTTGTCAGCATTTTACGTCGTCAATGGGTCTCCATAAATTGTGCAAGTCGATAATGCAACATTCATATTTAATTGCACTGAAGG